AGCGGCCTAACCTCACTTTTTTAGAATCTCATTTATTTATTAGCTAAAGCATGCACAATAATTATTATTGCTTTTATAAAAGAAGGAGTAATAGTTTGACAATACCTAGCTACATAATTTAAGTAGAAATGGATTTTTGCTATTACATTGAATTCAATTAATTGTTTAATAAATAGGTAGGTATCTAATTTTAATTTGTTTAAATTTTTATTTAAAAAATAGGTTGTTTGGAATGTTTAAGCTGTGTTTAACATTTAATTTCACTGAAAACTTAAAATAAATTAAAACTTAAAGATAATTTAAATCGTAGAAAAAGAATCGTGCGTTTTCTTGGTTGCCTAACCCCTAACCCCTAACCCCCAATAATTTAATGAAAAATATTAAACATTAACAGTAAAACAAACAAATTAGTGCTTATTATAAATAAATTAAACCAGTTTAGTACGTTAATTTCTTAGAAAAGGATTAATTTATCAAAACAATACCCCTAGCGAGAAAAAATCGAACTAATTATTTGCCTCATAAAAATTTTTATCTGCCTGGGCCATAACAAGGTATTTCTTTATCGAATGTTGACAACAATAAAGTTTAAATTATAGACCGCGTGGAGATAAATACATTTATAACTGACTAAACTTGGTTTGAAGAGGAATGCGGCAATATAAATCATACACAATTCGGTTATGTTCGCAGTTTGCAATGTGTTCCGGTATAAGTAAATTTGCATTAGGAGGTATGAAAAACGAAAATTACGGCTTAAAGCCTCTGAAAAGAACAAAGAAATTTTGTTGAAGTTGGTAGAAATTTTATTATAGTGTTGTCCTTGTAAAAGATTAATTAATTATATTTTAATTATAATAATTATATTATAATTATAATAATTATATTATAGTTATAGGAATACTAAACCTGTTTCTAAAAGGCAATGGTCTTTTACCTATTCTTTTCCAGGTACCAATAAGAACTTTTTAGACGTTTAGGCAAATGTTTTGAAAAATAAATGCAATGATGCCGAAGACATCGAGAGGAAAAAAGACATTTAAAATTTGTGACATGAATATAAAAAAATTAAGAAACAAACTCTAAGAGGATAACATATGTTAGTTAATGCTTGATATACATAAATTATGGCTTCAGAATAAACTTTTTAATCAAAAGGAGGGAGCTATACTCAAAAATTGCATGTCCAGAAAAATTGTGCTAAAAAATGAGCCTCGAAACTTTTTGTAGCATGCATATAGTTTACCCTTGCCTGCCACCCTGAACAAAATCCTGGCTACACCCTTGCTGGAAATGGGGCAAGAATCTCTGCTTTTCTAAAATGTTAAATTAAACCCAATGAAAAAAATTATGCATGCCTTATACACTTTGTTTTTTAAATAATTTAAATTGAAAAATATAGGTACACAAATTTTAAAAACTGTTACTTTAATAAAGCAAATTTTAAAATTTAACTGTTGCAGTTCTAGTCCAGATTTTTTTCCCTGTGTATTTTATTTTAAAAATAAAAATATTGTTTCAGAGCATATTTTTAATTATTTGTCAAATAAATAGTATAAATGATAAAAACAATTGGAACCAAAAACAATTGTTTTTACCTACAGTGTGTATTTTTTATTTTCTTATAAAACTGTTAATTATACTTTGTATGTATATTCAATTTGAAATAACCATGTTGTTGCCCCTTCATTTAATTTTCTTTTATGTTTAATAGTATATTTCTGGGCCCCAAATTAGAGTGTAAATTTTTTATCTACCTTGTTAAGCCCTTTACCCATAACCTACTATTTCTATTTGAAGAGCAAGCACATCGTTAACGACTGATATAAATTATATTAACCGATTTACATTTAAGATAATTTTATTGGCCAAAAAACAAATCTAGAAACCATGAATTACATTAAAAGAAAATGTCACAAATGTCAAATAAATCTTGATGAAATTTTAATTGTTTTTTGAAGAAAATTACTACGTTGCCATGTCGTGCAAAAAACTATATCCACTGATATGCTAAATCAGTTGATATAAATAAATCAACGTTTCTGTATACGGTCCTTAGTGTTCTTGTAATATTTCGTAGTATTTAAAGTAAGCATCAGCATCGTTTTTGCAATTTTATTTATTGGTAAATAAGCATATAACAATGAGGCTCCGTAAATGCGGTTTATCTGGATCTTTAGATGCTTAACAGTGGTAGCGAATCTCTTTCGGCTATCTCGACATTGCATCGCCACCGTGTTTTACCTAACATCTTCATTACAACCAATCCAAAGTTACCTTAACATTTACTCGAACATTAAGCCGATGTTTGCACAGTAATACACAATTAATTAGAAAGATACGGAACATGCGGAATATAAATTTGTTGTTTTAAAACTTATATCATTAATGCCGTGCCTCTGTGAGGTAGCATTAAAAAGTTTATAATCCGCCGTAATAAAATTTAAAACCATTATAATTTTGAAGCACGACAACGCTGAGAGTTGGTTTATAATGGAAAAATCCAATTTAAATGATAAAAAGTTCGGTTTGCTTTGTATTTGCACAGTAAAAAATATTTTTTAATTTTTAATTTATGTTAATCCAGGTTTACAACCAAGTGTTATTACAAACATTTTGTAGATTTAATAACAAAGTTCTATATCAATGGTTCAACCATAATTCTTGTAATTTTCAAAAATGACCTTATTTTTAAAAAACTTTTTGTAGACCCATTAACAAAAGTATTTGACTAAATATACAGGGATACAAAACCAACTGAAAAAAATACAAAAACGTTTTAACCGGGTCTTCAATGCATGTGGTGTTATCGTATTGCCAACGTACTTAAAATAACCAAAAAACCTAAAGTTTACCATCGTTTGTACCTAATACACAGAAAAAACGCTAGCATAGCATGAATGGGTGAGCAATTAAACCAATGGGATCTTGTAATCCGTATTCCTGAATAACAGTTCCTATAATACCAATAGGTAGTTAGCACTTGGTTTATAATCGTTTACTGTTTTTAAATTAATAACAAAAGTTATCGCTCCTAAATCTATTGATATTCATATTGATATTTATTTGTTAGAATGTTAGAATGTTATTGCATTAAATACTAATTTAATGTATTTAATAACGTTACTATTGTATGTATACTATGTATACATTTAACTTAATAAAATCCTTGACATTTAGGCAAAATATTTCCCTATTTTGGTTTAATAGTAATAAATTGAACAAATAACAATTTAGATTGCTTCAATTTTAATGCATTCAATGACAGCGATGTTCTTGGTACTATGTTAGTTTTTTTTCTGTGTACTATAGCCGTTCGGTAAAATTTAACTATGTATTTAAATAAACTCATAAACCACAGTAAAACGTACAATTTCGATTTGAAACGTAAGATTTGCAGAAAGAATTATTATCTTTGAAATGGCAGAGCAATTTCCGAAAATTATTATTTATTATAATAAACGATGATGAGATGGGTACTGGCAATGCAATGGCAGCATTTATTCCAATTTGAAGACACGATTCCATGCAATGTGTATCAATTAAGCTATTATGTTGTCTCTGTGAATGCAGACCTTAATCATACACTCACCGTGGCATATATCAAATCATACCAACCAAATGAAATGAAATATACTGGGAAGGAAAAAATCACACCCAGATCCATGTAAAAAAAAAGTTAAGAAAAGATTTTCAAGTCCTACAATATCATTGAAAAGTGCTTTGAAAGAGTCAAAAAATGTACTTTAAAAAAATCCAAAATAATTTAAGTGCTGGTTAAAAAAAAGTCGAACGATTTGTTGTGTTGTTGGGTGTTTTTCGAAAGGAAATCCTGGTAGATTTTGTCTAAAACATTTTTTCATATTTGTAATAGATGGAGCTGTAATAAAAAAATCAATTTTGTTCTATTTTTCTTCTGTATACGATTCTCCAATATTGTTTTAATAAAATTAACACTAAACTAAAACTGCTCTGGGATATTCCCAAATCTCTAGATAATTCTCATGAGGATTAGCGGCCGTTGCTGCTAATACATTAATTTCATTATTTCCACCTGTGACTGTTGCTCGACGAACTCTTTTTTTCGGTTGAACACTCCCGTTTGTAGTAAACTGCTTGACTGTTCGGTGAAATGAAGTACGTGATCGAATTTTTTCCGGAAAACGCTGTGCGTAGATAATAACAGCATCATCAAGATTCCTGCCTGCTTCTCCATAAATCAAAATCATTTCTATTTTTTCTTCCACTGTTAAAAAATCCATTATAAATAACTTAACGAACTAAATTGATTAAATAATGCTAAACTATAAATCACAGGTGTCAGGAAGCGAATGAAAGTTTCGATACGATAACGACTCAAGTGGAAGGGTGAAAATGGTAGGTTTGATGACCAGAAATCAGATAATTTCGGACCCAAAATCATAGCTGTTCATCTTGACAGATGGCGCAGGAATCTTAAATTTTTTTAATTCATACGCTAAAAACTTTGCTCTCGTTGCTTATTGCAAAGAGAAGGCCATGTATAATTATATACTTGTATATACATGATATATATGATGGGTGGACAATATATGTATTTTATTTATTGAAATTTATTGGAAAACTCGTAGTGTATACATGTATTTATATGTTAATTTTCAAAAGGTGCAGTGTAAGTTTGTTATTAATTCAAGTGTCCTCACGAATATTGTTTCTCACAAATTTGGAAGTGAAAAACTTACTTTCCAATAAAATGCACTAGCAACTCTGCAGTACTGCGCGGGTAGAGTCCCTGTATATTCAAAAAATAGGGATGCCAGAATATGTAAAAAAAAATCCATCAGATTTTGTATTAATTTACAAAAATAACATAATCAAAAATATTTAAATAACGTCAAATTGACAGTTTGCATTGTATGCCGCACTCTATAAAATAGAAAGTAGTTTGTGATTATTTCTAAATTGTCATCATGTCATCTTTTTGAGTACTACTTTGCAAATTTGTGGTCTTTATATTCGAAATGCCGAATCCTTGTAATCATAGATGTGATCATAATGAGAACAGAAAAAAAATTTGTGCCCCGTGTGGACGAAAGATTAGTCTCGGTTCCAAAATGTTGGAACATTTTCGGATCACTGACCATCATGAATTGTTGATAAAACAATTCATAAATGCAAATTTCGATCTTTCCAATCCCAAATTCCCTTCGGGTATCTGTGTCACGTGTCGTCAAATTCTTCAAGAACACGAGCGAGGAATTGTTAGAAGATCGGTCAAAAATATGCCGAATTATGAAGATATTTGTTTGCCAAAGGAGACAAGAAATACCCCCATTAGTAAATCTTTCTGTAATTGTTATATCTGCCTAACTGGAAGACATCAGGGACATATCAATATAAAAAAGAAGCTGCCTGTCTGTAAAACACTGGATCTTTCGATAAAAATTACTCCAAACAACGGTATGTATGGATCTCAAAATTCTAGTATTACTCAGATTCCGAAGAAAGAAACAATGAAACCAATAGACCAAAAAACACTGACCATTTGCCAAGTTTGTTACCAAGAAGTGGGAAAAGGGAAAAATCATCCATGTATCAGAGATTCTAGTAATAATAAAGCGCAAGCTCGACAAAACGTACAAGAATTGGCCAGCGCTCTTCCAAAAAAGCAACAGGAACAGCTGTGTGTCTCTTTGCTTTCCCAAAAAATTGAAAACATGAAAAGCTCGACCGCCGATTTCCAGAACATTGTTAGCTTAAGTACGCAGGGCCGCAAGAAAACTATTTTTTTAAAGGCGTCAGACAAACCTAAAACTATTTCAGTTGAGAGCTTAAATGATTATCAAGTGATATCAGGTGCTTCGGGTAAACAGATGAAAAATTTAAGCCATTTTATCAGGGACAATATGGGAAGGAAAGCGGTTCCAGCTTACTACTCTGTTGAAGTTTCAAAACGGGCGAAGCTATTAGCAGAGTTATATCATCACGATGTTTTGGACTTCGATGTTGAAAAATGCCTTGTTAAGCAGCGGAGACCGGTAGTTTGGGGAAACGCTGAGGAAATTCTGCAGAATATAATAGATAGACGAAACTTGATTGGAAATTACGGGGTTAAAGTCATGGCTGATGGCGGACAAGGGTTTTTTAAAATATCCATGTCAGTGATTCCCAAGAGTTATATTTCTGAATGTCTCAGTGATCAACATGGCGAGAGTTCATCTTCCAAGAAGATAAAAATCGATAAATGTACAAGTGTGCATAAGCTTACAATATTGGCTCTCGTTCCTAACATTAAGGAGACGTATGAAAATTTAAAAATATTATTCGACCTCGTAAAGATCAACGATATTTCGATAAAATTTGTTTCTGACTTCAAGTTGCTACTCCTGGTAAATGGACAACAAACGGCTACATCTCTTTTTCCATGTCCATATTGTTTTATTAACCTACAAGATTTACGAGATCGCAAAGATCTAAATGATCAAACAAATAATCACGAAAACCCAGAGAAGAATCAAGAATATATCAGCAATAAAACTTATGGGGATCTGCGACGTGATTATGAGAAGTTTACTGCTAGTGGGAGTAAAAAAAAATTTTCTGGACAGAGTCGAAGTACCATACACTCTCCGCTATTCACCGATAGTGACGACGTGAAAGTATTAGAAAAATGTGTAATTCCAGAGCTCCATATTTTGCAAGGATTCGTGAACCATATATTTTGGAAAGGTCTTGTTCCGCTAGTCGGTAGAGAAACAGCTTTGCTTTGGCCTAACGGTTTGAACTTGGTCTCGAAAAATTATCACGGGGAAGCGTTTGAAGGCAATGCGTGTAGAAAATTATTAAGATCATCAGACAAATTACTTGATCGTGAAATCTGCCAGGGCGTAGGGGGAGCATTCCCTCTTCTACCATTTGTCGCAGCATTTAAAGCTATGGATAAAATCGTGCATTCTTGTTTTGGAGTAAAGAGGATTCAGTCTGATGTAAATAAGCATATAAGTGATCTGAAGAAAGCTCTTCTTTCTATTAATATCACCGAGACACTCAAAATACACATAATATTGACACATATCCAAGAATCACTTGAATTTCTAGATAAAGAGGAAGGTCTCGGGCTGTGGTCCGAGCAAGCTGGGGAATCAATTCATCATGAATTTCTAAAGTTTTGGGATCGACGAAAATTGAACAATATGCAAGATCCACACTACCCTATAAAGCTACAGGAAGCTGTCGTTGACTTTTCTTCTAAACACGTGTAATATTCATCAAGGTTCTTATTTCTTTATTGTAAAAATTTGTACACGGGAAATACACAAAATTGTAAAAAAATATTTTTATTACTACACGTATATATAATATACATGGCCTTCTCTTTGCAATAAGCAACGAGAGAGCAAAGTTTTCAGCGTATGAATTGAAAAAATTTAAGATTCCTGCGCCATCTGTCCAGATGAACAGCTATGATTTTGGGTCCGAAATTATCTGATTTCTGGTCATCATACCTACCATTTTCACCCTTCCACTTGAGTCGTTATCGTATCGAAACTTTCATTCGCTTCCTGACACCTGTGAAATATTTTCTTTATACCTCAATAATAATTATTATTTATAATTAAATACCATTTGTATACCTCAATTAGAATTAAATTAATTAATTGACAAATTAATGTTTTTTACCTTAAATGGGGTATTTTTTAAAAATAGTACAATAATCCTTTAAATTAAAGGATTTGATGCTAGCAGGTAAAAAGTAACCATGGTGCCCAATTGATAATTATCACCGAATGAAATAATGTATAAAACTTAAACCAAAGGAAACTTAAATATTAGTTAAAAAATCGTGGGTACCTAAAAAAATCAGATTTAATTGAATAAGATAAATGAACACAAAAATAACATACACACAATTAAATAACACACTATTCTCAAATCATCAAATTATAAAGAAATTTGGTTTAATATAATTATCAATACTAGTACAACACTAACTGATGTATTTCGTAACTTTAACCCACTTTACTGTATCCCCTAATTTCAGTTTGAAAACCAATTTACTAAATAAAATTAACAAATTCATTTAAACAAATGTTTTTTATAAAAGTGTATGTGTTACATAGAATACAGGGTGTTTCATAATATATGCGCAGGACTTTAGGATGTGATAGCTCATCTAAAAAGATGAAAAAATTCGCTATTAACTTACCCTCTAAAATGCACAATTTTCGAGATACAGGGTGTTGAAATTTTAGAAAAAAAAATCGTTTTTTTCGATTATCTCTGGAACCGCTTGTTTTACAAAAAACAGCTTTTGTAAGCATTTTCTACTCATAATAAGCTATGTTTTGTGCCAGAAAAAAATTTTTTTTACTTATAATTGGTGGAGATTTTGAAGGGGTAGCGGGTGTTTTTCTCCTCAACTTTAACGCCCCTGAAAAAAGTACGGTTTTGAGAGGCCCATTCGAACCGCCAATGTTTTCTACACAAAAAAGGTACTCTTGGTCATAAGCTCTAAAGTTGACGTTAATGTTTAAAAACATGTTCAATTTAAAAAAAAAAAATTATTACTAATTAAACAAAATTTATTTTAACGTTAGAAAAAGTAACAAAACCAAACAATAATTGCAAAATTAAAAAAAAAATAAAAAATGATTTTTTACACAAATGCTGAAATGTTCGAAATGCGTTACCTTTACGGTTTGAAGAATTTAGCAAAGACAACTTTTGAATCATTTTTTTATTTTGCAATTATGGTTTGGTTTTGTTACTTGTTCTAACGTTAAAATAAATTTTGTTTAATTAGTAAAAAAATTCTTTTTTTTAAATTGACCATGGTTTTAAACATAAAATTTGATTTTTCTCGAAAACGGTCAACTTTAGAGCTTATGACCAAGAGTACCTTTATTGTGTAGAAAACATTGGCGGTTCGAATAGGCCTCTCAAAACCGTACATTTTTCAGGGGCCTAGAAGTTGAGGAGAAAAACACCCGCTACCCCTTCAAAATCTCCACCAATTATGAGGAAAAAAAATTTTTTTCTGGCACAAAAAATAGCTTATTTTGAGTAGAAAATGCTTACAAAAGCTGTTTTTTGTACGATAAACGGTTCCGGAGATACTCGAAAAAAACGATTTTTTTTCTAAAATTTCAACACCCTGTATCTCGAAAATTGTGCATTTTAGAGCGTAAGTTAATAGCGACTTTTTTCATATTTTTGGATGAGTTATCACATCCTGAAGTCCTGCGCATATATTATGAAACACCCTGTAAATAAAAATGGTGGATGCGCCAATGTACTCGGTACTCTGTGTAAATAATAAAAATTACACGTTAAAGTCCTGGTTAATCGGCTTAGTAACGCTCGGTAGTAATTAAACATAAATAATGACACCAAGAGAAGAAGAACCGCACTTTTTTCGTATAAATTATGTGATATGTAATATGAACATAACTGCTTAAAAAGAGTCGATTAACAATTTAAAGCGCATCTGCTTTGAAGGGTTTATGATAAAATCTACACCATCCACCTGCATAACGCGCATAATTGTTTTTTCTTTCCACCAAACAATTAAACGCTTTTTAAAAATATCGAATGGAAAATTATTTCATTTAAATTAATTTTCTTTTTGCATAGCTTTAATGCACGGTGTTGACTGCATTGAGAGAAAATTAATTAACCTTATGGTAAAAGGACAGTACGCACAAAGCGAAAAATTGCAGGCGCTCGTTTTTTTAAACGCGCCGACAAAGAATTATTTTAATATGCAATAAAAATTTCATAATTATCTATTAACTGTGGATATACACCTAATTAGTAAATAATTTTTAATTAAGGATGTGTTTATTTCAAATTATGTATTGTGATAACAGTTCCTTTGGATACTTAATTGTATTAGCCGGTTTAATGCAAAACAATCTTTAATACAGGGTGTTATGTAATTAATGTTATATATTAAAATACTGAATACCTTTTGACATAAGGAATAAAGGAAAAATATTTAAAAAAACATTTTTCCAAAGATAAAGAAAAAATATGCATTAGAAGTTTTTTATATTTTTTGTGATACGCCACTGGTTACACACTTGTTTATCTGTGTACACCTGTATTTTGTGAGTACATAGATACCAACAAACAAAGTAGCTATGCGTTGCCAGATGTAAAAAATTGTTACTAAAAATTTTTCTTGCAAAAAATAAATAAAAACTCAATAAATACAAAAGTTTTATGCCCTTATGCTCTAAAACCCTTCTGTATTTATTTACTCATCCAGCTATTAATTAGCTTAAGCAATGATTAGAAAATTTAGTACCTTTGAAATTTGAAATCCATAACCACAAAATTAATTTTTTCATCAGTTTTTTTCTCTGTTTACTCAGAAGAAATTGGGACCAGTTCACAGGTTAAACTTTAAACATTTAATTTGTGTAAATAAATCCAAAAGCACTTCCCTTAGTTAAGATATTTACAATTTGAAAACATAACCTAAAATTTAAAAGAAATGCACTAGATTCTATCATAAAAGTTGTCAGATTTTGTTTGAATTTACCTTCAGTACAAAAATGAAATAACCAACAATTAATAAAAACGCCAAATTGACAATTTGCATTGTTAATTTTGTCATTTTTGTAATTAAGCTAAATTTAAACAATGTTTGTCAACTTTTTTGAGAGATTTTGGAAAAACTGTTGTTACCAACCATAACATAATAAATCCACCAGATTAACCTAAAGTTCCTAGTCGATCAGTGGCGTACTTTTTGGTAGGATAAAGGTTATTATAAATTATTTTTAGACTTTGGAATTTAGAAAAAAAAAGTTTCAGGTGCTTCTTTATGGACCCTAAGGAACAACCCATTTTAATATATAACATTAATTACATAACACCCTGTATTGTAATTTTTTAATGAATGTTTTTTTTATAAGTAAAGTAAATATTTTAATACAATCCCGAAACGATTCATTAGAATCATTCGGCTGAAGAGCATGGGGGAGAGGAAAATGATGCCGGGGGCATTAAAAATGAGAACGATTTAAAATTCATGCAAAAATCGTGGGCATAAAGAGCTATAGCTTATAAGCAGTGCACTCGAGTCGAGAAGAAAAAAAGTTGAAAGAACAAAAATTCGCAAAGTTGCGTACATTTAAATGGAGCTTCGGTCCCCGTCTAATACAATTGTGTCCTGAATTTTAACAAGCCTTGTTATTTTTAAAGGAACGCCGGTTCGGCCCATCGATCACCGAGCCGCCGCCAGAGCCCGCCGCCGCCGCCGCCGGTGTTTTATAATTTTTTGATTAAATTTCCGTGAATGCTGTGTACACACAAACTGTTGGAAATAAGAAATGAGCTTTGCATTTCAATATCAAAAAACATTCAAATATTTGCACAAATGATTATTCCATTAAAACGAAATTTGCTCAGGTATATCTTTTGCTCTCTGTTTATTATTCAAATTGCCGCCCCCTTACTTTACTTCGCTTAGTTACTTGCTTCTTTCGTTTTCCCATTTATTTACCCCGATGCCTTTTTTGCAAATTTTTAAATGCAATCAAAGGCAATTTTATTTAGAATTTAATTTATCAGTATTT